TTATACAATGGAGAAAGAGCAGATTTAAGTTTTAATTTTTAAACATGTTAAATTTGCGTTATTTAATTGTTGGTTTATTTTTTTTACAATTAAGGCGCATCAACCGATGTGGTTGTTAACGCCGCTAGATATTACAATTTTCTCACATTTTTGGATACGTAATATATACAGATTTTGACCTACACAGATTTCTACATACATATATCTTGGTTAAACTAAGTATATTGTATAAAAAGCATTGACTATTACACATTTATTTGTACACGCACTGATTTATATTTGGTTGTATACTCCTGTTGATTTTATGAAACTTAAATCTGACGAATAGACACAGTTATCTTCTAGACACTCGCGTGCGTTGTCGGTAGATTACATTTTTTTCTTCTCATCTGCATAACAGCCTAAAATATTAGTTTTTCTTAAAACATCTTGTATTAACGACACTGATATACAAAGTGTCTTACAAAAACATTTCTCACATACCTGTATGTCTTGACCATTCAAAGAAAAGTAGCACCTTTTGGAAAATGCACGTGGTTTTGATAAACTTCGACAAACTGCAACGACTCTCTTTGGTGGATCCGTTATGTCCTATATATAGTAACTTCCAATAGTCACGACATAGTCTTTGTCTGTAATCTTCGTTGAAATAACTGGCACATTTGTCTGGTTTTAGCAAATTTGCTGATTTATTATTTTTTTTATTTCATAAGGCAAACCCTCACGGGCCTCCGTTTTTGCAACATTTATTATTCAATCTTTCGAGTTGGCTTTTCTCCAACGTTTTAGTGGACGTACCTCTTTCCATACTTTGTCAAGAAGTCGATTTAATATCAAACTAATTTCTTTCTCATTATTTGTTTCAAACTTGTTTCAAACACAACTTGTTTCAAAACTTTCTTCCTAGTCACAAATATAGAAGACAAGCAATTTTACTTAATGGTCTGCTTAATTTTAGCATAATCTTATTTTATTAGCTTAATTTATTAGCAAATTAATTATATCATATCACCATTATGATCATTTATGATTTTAGCGTAGTAATCTTTTCTCAATTTTAACTCAATTTGTTTTCAGGTAGAATGAAATAAGTGCACTTAAAGGTTTTTACTAATCGATATAAAAAAAAATTTTAATAAATCATACACGTAAAATGTATTAAAGACACTTATCACCTTTTTACTGAATATGGTATGCAGTAGTAGAAATATATTGTTGTCCGGCATAATAATATATGTGGACTTACTTTGTTTTACATGCAACAGAACTTTAATTTTATGGAAATAAGTAGCGATATATTGTTTTATTTGAAAATGAAAAGTTGGTTAGGTGTAAGTTATTTTTTTATTCCATAAATTATCTACTGAATGGTAAGTCGTATCATTTATTGGATTTTACCTGTATGTAGAGCGGAAAAAGCTGAGAATTTTGGTATACTTATCTCAATATTTTAAAATTTGTCATTTACCTGATTTTCCCAGTATACCGACGATTTGTCACAGACATATTTGTAAAACACATTCTTTATATTACTGTCCCAGTTGTAAATAAATAAATTAAATTTTGTAGGTATTTGTTCTTAGGCTTTTCTGGGTAAAAAAAAGTGCCTTTTATTTTTGTTAAAGTTTAATTTTGTTAAGGTTTAATTTACATGAGCAACATAATTTTTCTTTAATAAACTATAACTTTGTCTTAACCCTTAAATGCCCAATCGGGGTCACTATGGGACCCCAGACATACATTTTTGGCTATAATATCTTTATTTGAAACATTTGGCAACCGCGCAATCAGGTATTTGTGTGGACGTGTCTCCTACGTTTTCTGTTAGTATACCACGAACATTCGTGAGGTGCAGTGGTCTGTAAGAGAGATTTAGATAAGTGTGGTCTCGCTGTGACCCGATTGGGCATTTAAAGGCACCAGAATAATTTTATTATTTTTAACATTTTTCGTCAGTTTACATTGAAAAATGGACCGTAAGAGTATGAAAATGACAATAAGCGACCAAGAACATGAAAAAATTATCCGAAATATAGAAGAAGGGATATCAGACTCCGATTTCGACTATGAGATTACCGACGAATCAGATAGCGAAGAGCAAGATGTTTTTGAGGAAAATGTTTCGGAAACTGAGGACAATTTAGAAGTCAACAGTGACGAGGAATCAGATGCAGAACCTACCGAAGTGGACGATAATATTAGTGAGGTTAGTGGTCCAACATATACATCCAAATCTGGAATGCAGTGGAATAGCCTACCTTTCGTGAGATCCAAGAGGCAACAAAAAAATATTATAAATGTACATCCAGGCTTAACAAACTATAGTAAAAATTCCAACACGTTTTTAGACTATTTGTATTTAGTTTTGACCGAAGAGATGAAGAATGTCATATGCCTTCATACTAATGAAGAAGCTGTTAGGCGTTATCAAGAGTGGAACGAAAAACATCCGAATAACAAAAAAGAGTGGACGGTACTTACCAACAATGAACTGGATAGCTTTTTAGGAGCACTTATCAAAGCTGGTGCTTTAAGGTGTGGGAAAGAATCGACACGAGAGATATGGTCTACAGACACCTCAATACGCCGGTCATTTTTTACAGCCGCATTAGCTAGGAACCGATTTGAAGAATTATCGAGTTTCTTGAGGTTTGATGACAAAGTGACCAGGGTGGAGCGAAAGGAACAGGATAAGTTAGCGGCGATACGAGTAATTTGGGACATGTTCGTCTCTAACTGTGACAAAGCCTTTGAACCATACGAACATATAACCGTTGACGAACAGTTAGTGAGTTTTAGAGGAAAGTGTCCTTTTAGACAATATATAAAATCAAAACCTTGCCGCTATGGGATAAAAATTTGGGCTGCCGCGGATGTTAAAACATCTTATTTATCAAAACTTCAGGTGTACCTTGGAAAACTACCAGGTGGTAGAATAGAGAAAAATCAGGGATTTCGTGTTGTGAAAGATCTGGTGTAACCATATCATGGCAGTTGGAGAGGAATTACAACTGACAACTTTTTTACCAGTGTTCCTTTTGCTCAATATCTTTTATCTAAAAACCTTACTTTACTTGGGACCGTCCGCAAAAATAAACCTGATACACCACCACAACTAAGTTTGACAAAAAGACTTGCGGAGTCGTCAATATTTGCTTTTACTAAAGAATTAGCTATGGTTTCGTACATACCTAAAATACACAGGATGGTACATCTTCTTTCAAGTCAACACAATAGTGATATAATTTGTCAAGACTCTCAAAACAAACCCTTGATGATTTTAGACTATAATAATACCAAGGGTGGTGTTGATAATGCCGACAAACTGATTAGGGAATATTCCTGTAAAAGAAGAACTGCTCGTTGGCCATTCAAGCTCTTTATGAATATTATAGACATATGTGCACTAAATGCCTATATTTTATACATTGAAAAAAATCCTGATTGGAAGAAAAATAATTTTTCACGAAGACGTATTTTCCTGTTACAATTAGGGGCTGAGCTTGCTCGAAACTACATGGAAAAAAGAGCGAAATATATAAAACATAAAGCCTATGTAAAATCTGCTCTAAAAGATTGTGGCATACCAATGGTAAACCCAACTACCGAAGTTGCAACTCAATCCGTCCATTCAGCTAAGAAACGTGCTCGTTGTTACCAGTGTCCGCGAAACTGTGACAGAAAAGTGAATACCGTTTGCTCTTTTTGCAAAAAATTTATATGCCAGGTGCACAGAAAAGATGAAAAAACTATTGTATGTAAAAATTGCAACTAAAAGTTATATGCTTATATTATTATTTAATTTTAATTTTGTTCGAATTGAAAAGAATTTGTTTCTAGAAAAGCCGTTAATTTTGTATGAAAAATAAATAAAAATTATTCAAATATGCTTAAAATTATTTTTAACCGTGTTTTCCTTTTAGTCAGTGCTAAATGACGTTACTAAATTGAAAATTTTAGTGGGGTCCCTAGGAGACCCCACAATGGCATTTATGGTTATTTTCATATCACGGGCATTTAAGGGTTAATAAAGTTTTTGTTTAGCACCATTAGCTTATTTTATTTCGATTAAGGACCGTAAACCATAGTTGCGTCATAGTGACCCAAATAGTACATTTGCATAGTTGACCCGAACGGTACAGTAGGGTTAATGGATGTAATTAAACAATATACATATATAATATATGTACAATTTTACCATTTTGGTGATATAAAACTGGGAAAAAATATGTTAAAAATAATTATCTTAATCTCCATCCTCCCTGGATTTGTCTTCAAGGTTGGTTTGTACTTAACGAATTTCGTCGGTTTCTCGTGTTTCTGTAAAAAAGAAATGGTTATATACTTACAATTTATTTTATATTAAAATATTAAAAGGAAAATGAACCTGAATAATAAGTATGCTTCCGGAAGTTGGTTACCAACGAAGCAAGCCAGTTTTAATTTTTCATCCACATTTTTGTGACTCTATCAGTTCTTTGCGCCACGCTCAAATCGTCAGATTGTTAAAATATATACAGTTATCAATGTACTTAACTTACCGTATCTTAACCCATTATGTCCAACTGGACTCATTTGAGGACAGCAAACAAAATTTTACTGTAGCGCCTTCTATTGAGAAATAGCAAGAGTTCACTACGACAGAATGTTATATTACATTGTTTTCTTCTTAACTTCTAGCGCTGATGTTTTTCAGTTTGATCAACTTAACAGCAGGTACAACTTTGTAAGCAAGGTCACGCCTTTATCTGGAAGAGCGGTACATGCTTTTACTAAAAGACACGTAAAATTAAAATTTCATTTGTAAGGAGTGTTTATTAAACCGAAACGTGTAGTTGTAAGTGTAAGCTATTGTGTTTTCAACAAATTATATCGAGTTTGCTGAAATTGTGTATTACACAAGTTAGGTAAGTTGTGTATCCTCGTTTGGGGATACTATGCGGAAGCCGTCTATATAAAATTTATGTTATTATTTTTACAATACAATTTTTTTATTTTAGTTTGTTACGGAAGCAGAACATTTAGCACCAATATCTCCGTAAAGTTTTTATAGAAGGAAGTAGCGTCATTTAAATGCTGCTTTACATGATGTTGTTACAGCAAATATTAAACATGAAGTAGACGTTGTTATTATACCGCCTGATGCTGACCCACAGACCGATGAAGAGGACTTTGACGAAAATGATTTAGAAGGTAATGATAAACAGCATAGATGAAGAAGAAATTGAGGACGAAAACAGCTTGCCACTGTCTAAAAGGTTAAACAACGTGAAATCAAAACGGACCAAAAAATGAAGATAAGTCAAAAATGGACTAAAAATTTTGTTGACACTAGTATGCTAGCAACTTCCGCTTGGGCTGACCGTTGTGAAATTCTAAACAACGAACTGGAAAACTGTAGTCCAGTTGAAGCATTTGAAAAGTTGTTAGATGATGAAATTTTTGACTATTTGATGCATCAAACAAATTTGTATTCATCAAAAAAAAAAGACATGACTTTTTTGTTTCAAAAGCTGATCTCAAACTCTTTGTGGCAATTTTACTCCTAACAGGCTATCATAAACTACCAAGCGAACGTAATTATTGGAGTCTTGATGAAGATCTTGGAGTGCCTGTGGTCGCAAAAACTATGCCAATGAACCGATTCCAGGAACACAAAAGGTATATTCACTTAGTAGATAACGATAATCTGAATACCCACGACAAAATCGCTAAATTGCGACCTCTAATGTCACTTTTAAATCAAAGATTTTAACAGTAGGGCATGTTACATAAAAACCTGTCAATCGACGAAGCTATGGTAAAATTTTATGGTCGGCATTCTAGTAAACAATATATAAAGGGAAAACCAGTACGCTTTGGATATAAGAACTGCTATGTAGTTTCACAGGATATTGTTATGCCTTTGACACTTATTGTGTTGCTAAAAGAGATCCCCAAGTTAACGATTTACCCTTAGGATCTCAAGTAGTTCGTGATCTTCGCAAAATTATTGCTATGCCTTCTGATCGTGTAATATTTTTGACAATTATTTTAGTAGCCATGGTTTACTAAAATGCTGAGACAACAAGGTTATCGTGCCACTGGTACGATAAGAGAAAATTGAACTAAAAAATGTCCGATGGCAAAAGTGCAAATATTCAAAAAGAAAGAGGGTTCATTTGAACACTATTATGATAGAAAGTCAGCGCTTCTTTTTATTAGGTGGCAAGAGAATAACACTGTCTTAATTGTTACCAACTATGACAAACTGGAACCTATTAGCACGGTCAAGCGTTGTTCATCAGTAGCCAAACAGAAAGTAGATGTGCAACAAACACACATTTTTAGTATGTATAATAAATGCATGGGTGAAGTTGTTTACAACCAGCAGTAAGCAGCTACAGGATTGCTGTTAGAGGTAAAAAATGGTAGTGGGTGCTGTTTACAAACATGATCAACATGACTGTTGTCAATGCCTGGAGACTCTTTCAATTAGCAAATGATGATCCAATCTCATTGTTAGAGTTTGAACGAATTACAGTACGCTTTTATTTAGCTTGCAAAGAAAAATCGACAAAACCGAAAAACAGACCTTTTGCGCAATTACCACCAACTGTACGAAGTCATGAGGGAGGTCATTTTCCAAAAAAAATTAGATCAACAGCGACGGTGTACGCAGTGTCACAAAAAAGCAAGGTAGAGTTGCTCAAAATGCACAGTGACCCTTTGCATTGAACGGGACTGTTTCAGAGTTTATCATTCCTAATATGTTTATTGAAAAAATGTCTAATGTTTAGTTTGCAGTAGGTACTGATTGATTTTTGTTTAGTTTTAATCACTATTGTATTTTACTTTGTACTTAAAAATAATAAATAACGTAATGTAAAACTTTAACTTTTTTTAACACTTTATCCCATTGTCACTACTCGGGGACATATATGTTGTATACCGTAAGTTATTAAGTATGACACATTTAATTTTTTGCTTATAATAGTACCCTTATTAAGATTCAGTAAACATTTTTAAATTTTTTTCAAAAAAATGTCTTGAGTTTTAATGGGGTAATTTTTTTTTTTTATTGGCATAGACTTTTAGTCATTCAGCCAGACTCAACATGGTAAAAAAATAGTTGTCTGAGTTTATATTAATAAATATACAAAACAAAGAACAGGTAAACAGGGTCACTCTCTTCTCGCCTAGGGGCCCATCAAGGCATGTTTTTTAAGACATACAACACTAGGCCACGGTAAGAGGGGAATTTGACAATTGGGTTAGAAACAAAGGTTACTTTATTAACTAATGCATAATAAATTACATGGTTATTTTACTATCCTTTAAAAACATAACTAAGGAATCATACACTGCTCTCGAGTCTAGTGATAATAAGTACTGAAGGTTCCAAGGGGCTAATATATTGTATTTATGTAAGTTATTTATTAATCTTGCTGAAATTATAGTATTTCTGGGGCAACTGAAAAATATATAATCTAGGTTTCCTTCTTCTGTACAAAATTCACATCGATCATTATCTAAAACCTTGAGTTTAAATAAATGTTTGGGGTAACAAGCATGTCCAAATATCAGTCTAATGATCGTGGTAATATATTTTCTAGGTACATTAAAAGACTTATACCAAGGTGTTTTAGGAATATCTGTTTGAAGAGAAGTGTAAATGGGGTAATTTGACGTGCTCGAATATTTCTGAGGATCGAGTTGTTTTCTAATCTAACAGAGTTTCATCAACAAACGCCTTTATATTAAGGGCTCATATATGGTAGGTAGGTACATTACAGGCTAGAAAGTTTCTTCCCATATGATTTTTTGACGCGCTCGAGTAATACGCGAAATCCCCGCTTAGGCTCCCCTACGTACTGGTCCTTGTTTATCAAATATATCCTCCCTACAGTATCGATTTACTACTTGTTTGTAACACCAACACAACAGCTTTTCACGCCTATTACTATTTTCCCTAATTTAGGGTGTAGGTCCAATGAATAAAAATAAATGTGAATAAAAAATTTATGTTGGCATTTTCCAATCCAACTTCCATTTCCACCTAAATTGTTCCAAGGAAATGATATCTCGTTACTGTTATTTTTCAACGTCAGTATTTAAATGAAAGTAAATGAAAAATCAATCTCATGATACATAAAACAAAAAAATTTGACCTTAACGATGTTGGTTATGTCGCGTGTTGAAAAAATTCAGGAGAATCTGATAACGTGTAAATAAATGGCCTAAATAAAACTCAATTATACAAAAAAACCTTTTTGTTTTTAGATATGGTGAAATGATTCTAAAAATTACTGAATGCATTAAAAACTTCCTTTTAATCATTTTGTTTAAATTTTGGTATTTTGTAACATTAGTTAAATTTAAGTTAAAAAATATTTGCACACCCATACAATTTTTACATCTAAACTTATTCATTGTCATAAAACTGTCACCTTCATAAAACAATCACTCAATAAATAACACACATTTCATAAATATATCTCTCGAATAAGTATAAATAACTTTTAATAATACAATGGTATATTACATCACTTTTATTTAACAAACAATCACACACATATCTCTTCTTCATTGGATCAAATCTATCTCCTCAAGAACTTCCCGTTTACTGTCAAACAACTGCAATAACAGAATTGAGTTCTCTATTCAACAATACATAGTAGTTTCAACCATGTTTTACCATTCATCAATTAATAGAGTACCAGCATGTAAGTAATGCTTATTTTATTTATTTGCTCTTTTATTAATTTATTACAATCAAATAGCCTATTTTATAACAATTTGTGGGCCTTACCTTGTCTGTCTAAACTTTTAAAACTTTTATACATTTTATTCAACTTACTCTTTTAAATAAAACCACAGACATGTAATATTTGCATAATTATTGTAATTTACAACATCTACTTTGTTTATCGTTATTAGACAACACCCTAATATGGGTTTTTTATCATTTCAGGATTTGTTTAACTTTGTATCGAGACCTGAGGATGCTTTGCATATTGTAGAAAGCGAAACCGGTCGTCTGATAGTTAAATTAAATTGATTGTGAGTAAGTCTTATTTATTATTTCTTTACCTATTTTAAAGTAAATTCCTTAAAATCTACACATGTTACATCAGCTCTAAGAAGAGGTATATGTACACAAGTTAACTTCGTTGGACATCTTTTACTTCAAAATAATAAAGTAAAATCTAGCCATTCATCTGGAGAAATGATTAACATGTACCAAACATATATGGACAGAAAATACTACAACTAGAAGTTTTATACAGAAAACTTTACTGGTTGCTGGGAAAAAACTCACACCTATGGTTCGACAACAACCTGCTGATATAAAAAATATTACTAAAACCAATTTGGTCATTTGATTCGCAGCTCTAGAAAATCTAATGTTATAAAAATACAAATATTTAAATTTAAAACTCTTAGAACAATCGCTTATGCTCCTTGATATATTCAAAATGACGCATTACGTAAATATCTGCAGGTACTAACAGTCTCTAAAATAAAAAAAAGTGCAAAAGAATTTTTAAACAATATTAAAACTTGTTGCGCGTGTATCCTAACAAAGTGGCAAACAATCTTCTCAACAACCAACAAGTGAAAGGATTGAAGCGATATGATCCCTTGAACCTACCAAACCATTCCTGATAGTACCTTCAGGTAGTGGAAGCTAGCCTTCCACAATGCCCAACCATTGTGGTTGTGCCGTTTTTAGTATTCGTGTTGACGTATCTGTGTATGTGTACAACCCACCAGTAAGCAAGCCAATTTGTGTTTTGATGCTTTGGTCACTGGACTTTACATCTCTCTGACATTATAAAGACAAACAATTTCACTTACTGTTTTTATTGTGAAACAGATTGTAAATAATTTCAGATGATAATAAAAAAAAATATTTTATTGAATATATTGAATGTAAGCTTTTTTCAGCTTATGGTTAACTATGTCGATTTTCATAATTTGTTTATAATTTGTTGATATGCTTTCTAACAATTTTTTTTATTATCCACTTATTTCAGCTCCTTTGCCTTCTCTTTACCGT